TCGCCAATTTTAGCATTGGTGATTGCGACGGACATCAGACGGCTCTGACTCCGGGAATGTTTGACTTGCGCTCGAGATTCGCTTTCTTTCCGGTGACGTCCGCACTTCAAAATAGGAGGGACGTACTTTTGACTGTATATGCTCTACCCCACTTCCCGAAGCGGCTCGGCAGAGCGATATCCGTCTCGCGTCAATACAGATTCAACGGTCCATGTGAGTAGGCCCGATTCACAGATCTGACATTCACCAAACATTTTGTTGGAGTGTACTCTGTGTACGTAGCAGCAGTCACGAGTAATCACTCATGATCAGACTGTGATTAGGAATTCGACCCGGGCGCCGCAAGTAGTCCAGCCTGCACAACTCTCTGCTGCTATACTGCCTTTTTGGCTTGTGTGCTCATGAGTCAAGAGCGTTGAGTCCATAGCAAGAGCAGTCGTGAGTAGAGTCACAGTCACAGCGCGGGCGTGAGTGCAGTCGCACGTACTGTGCGCGGCAAGCACTAAATATTATTCACACAGTTGCGCTTATGCACTATCCACGCGATCTGCATACCTGCGGGTTGCTCCTGCGTGCCCTACGCATGCACCAAAAGAGGTGCAGCAGGCGAAAAGCAAGTCCGTCCTTCTGCGTGTGTGTCCGAGCGGTCATCTGCGCATCGATGCCCAAATCGCGTGGTTGTTTGGCACTCCGACGATGGGAGTGGGGGAAGAGGAATTCGCATCGTGTGCGTGTGCGTGGCAGACATGATGCCGCTGACTGCCTCGCAGCCAAAGTGCCTTGGCCTTCTGGCCCTCACCGGTACCTCGGACGAGATAAGTCTTTTGGAGATGCCGAGATTCCAAGGAGATGACGGCGCATCGAGCCATCTCCGTGCGCTCTGCTGGCTCGATGCCTCGTGACGGTGCGCAGCCTCATTGTCCAGGACCCACGACTGTACCGTACCTACACACACGTACTTGGCACGAGAGTGACTACAATCAGGCTTTCTTGTTTGTGTTTGCGTTGCCGTTGCATTACTTCTTGAGCATCCACCTCCTCGCACCTTGCTCCTCTCCTGCTGCGTTTCGCTGCCAGCATCTCTGACGGAGACTTCATGCATACTGCACGCGACGCACGGTCGATCGGCCCATCACACCAAGCTCTCCTGCTTCTCTGTCGATTTACGATTTTGGAGGGACGCAGCCCATGATCTGCTCATCCGACCGGTCACTCACCTTCACGAATCTATCTGCCGACCGCTGTGCTCACTTCTGCTTGCTGTCCTCGCCTTTGCTGTGCCGACTGTTCCCGAGTGCGACTGTGCCGCAGGCGCGAGTCTGCTGCCAAGACCTGCTGGACTCTCATTGCCTTATTTTCATCTCGCCTTTCATTTACGCCTGCGTTCGCCCTTTGCCGATCAGCTACACGAAGAACATCTCGGGGACAGGAAGGTCTCTGCATCGTTCTTCTCCACACCTTCTATACGCGTCAACCGCACTTCGCCGGTGATCAACTCTGATAGCACAGCGTCAACGTCTGGTAGTCGACATGGTTACAGTGACGCGCGCAGCGGGGGGAACCATGTCACAGCCAGGACCTTCAAAGCGAAGGACTCTGTTCGGCATTGGGCGCAAGAGCGCCTCCAATGATGCTTCGGAGCACTCTTGGCCCAGCGATGATCCACATCGGGCCGCTCCGGCCGCTCCGGAGCAGCCGCGGGTCAGCTCACCGCCTCCTCAAAAGCTCCCACCTCTCTCATTTGGCTCAGCAGCTTCGGACCTGCCCAGCACTAGTAGCGGCAGAGACTATTGGAGCACAGGGCAAAGCACTAATCGTGAGCCAGCCTCGCCCAAGTACGCCGCTTCTGCCATACCCGCTCGGCCTCCTCGTTCTGAGTCACCCAGCTCCGCGGCTCGACCTAGCGGGGCTCCCGCTGGGTCAGATACGCGGAGTGCCATGCCTGCGGCGCAAGCTGAGGCCATCTACACCGCTGTAGAGCTACCCACGAACTTCACGGATCCGTTTCGCGGAGGCGGGGTTGAGATTGGAGTCGAGCCTTACATTGGAGCTTCAGGGCTCAGAACTTCGCGAAGCGCCTCGGAGGATGCAACTGGTATTTCAAGAGTCACAGGATCGCAACACGTCCACGACGCCGCGGTCGTGGAGCTGAGCGGTCTGCCTGCCCCAGGTGGCCGCCCTCGGCAAGATAGCGCTCCTGCGGCAGGCGTTAGGCACCTACGGGCTCGTAGTCATTTCAGCATTCCAGACGTCGTTGTGACATCGTGCGAGGAAGAAGGCGAACAGCAACACTTTGAGGTCAAAGTGCCGATCGCCAAACGTCGCAGCTTTGTCATAGCACAGCCAAAGGATCAAATCAGTCCCGCGTCTCCAACGCGACCAAAGCCAAGTAGTCCCAAGCGAGTTCAACCGCCTCGAACCCGGACAGAACCTCTGATCAAGCTAGACCTCGATATTGCCCACCTGACGAGCAAGGACGGTGCGATGTCCGGCTCGCCGACTGCTGCGGTAGGACCCACACACAGTCTGCCTTCTAAAGTATCTTCGTCATCTGGAGAAGTCAAACGCGCCAGAAAGGTGTCTCTTCCACTGCTGTGGGGCGGAGGCAGCAAGAAGACAGAGGAAGATGGCAAAGGCGTGTACGAGCAGCCATCGCCTCCTTCATCTGCTGGAAGCGTAGCTACTCTGCCAGGTGCTTCGCGCTTCTCCGTTCCTACAAAATCCATCATGAGCAAGAAAGAGGCTCGGGCGAAAGCAAAAGAGGAGCAGTCTTTGATGAAAGAGCTGGAAAAGGTGGACAAGATGGTCAGAGAGCACGACAGAAAAATGCAAAAGGAGATGGCAAAAGCCAAAAATAGAGAGAGAAAGAGTGCTTCGGAGTCTGGCGGAAATGCGATTGAAGGCGCGAGCGCCACAAGCAGAGCGTTTCGAAGGCTGACCATCTTCAGCGCTTCATCGAAGGCAAGGCCGACGCCACCCCCACCTGTGCCCCCTCCCTCAGGCACACACTTGGGCAGTCATGAGTCTCTTGCACGCAGATCTAGCCGGAGAATGCAGGCCGCGTCTCGACCTATTGCACGCCAGGAAGCATCAGCAGTGATCCGGGATTCTGAGCTGGTTGAGCCAAATTCACATCCCGGAGCTCCTCTTAGACAAGACTCGTCAGATTGGACAGATGATATCCAAAATGATCACCCAGTGGGTCCGCCTCAAGCTGTGCGGCCAAGTTCCTCTTCCTCTTCCATACAGCGTGCCTTGGCTATGAGTGATGTAGAGTCGCAGATGCTTCGCAAGAAGGCATCCCTACGCCGGCGTCCGTCTCAGCAACGAGCGGAGTCTCGACGATCAAGTAGGGTGGTCGAGTCGGAATGGACGGATGAGATCACTGTTCAAGGTGATGGGCAAGTGACGCCACGGCCAGGATACGCGACCCCCCGACCTCGTGCAGCAAGTCCAGCTACACCGACAATTCTTGCCACAAACACGGCCGCTGCGGCGCGCCGAACTTCAACGAAACCAGAGCGACCGCCTCGCCGCTCTCCTTCGCCAGAGCAAATACGAGCCAGTGCCGCTTCTCCGATCTCCTTTTCGCGACCCTTTCGTCAAAGCAGCGTCATAAGCTCGGATGACGATGGCTTCTCCTCCGCTTCCACCACCGCCCCTCCCACTCCTACCTCTACGGATCAGACTGGCGCCGGCATTGCCAAGTCTAGATCACCGCCCGCTAACCCAAATGGGTTCGCTTTCCCCGCTCGCGCAGGCAGGTCCGGTACGCTGCCGTCCATTCATTCTCCACAGCATGATGCTCGAGATCCTCTTGCTAGGAGCACTAGCGATCCCCAATTGTAATACTATTTGGCCTCATCTGGTCGTATTAGCGTCCACACGGACCACCTTTTCATTCTCTTTTGCGGCACCTCTATCTCAACCATACCCGTGCATCGTCTTCAATTTGCCTCACACTTGCAATAACATGCCTTCTTGTTGGGATCCATGTGCCGAACTTTTCATGTCCATGCCTTTCGCCGGGGAAATCTTGCAGACGCTTACAGCGCGGGTGCTCCGCCAAGATGAGAAGCATCGCTTCCGAATCCCGCATCCGATTGGGACTGCCGAGATTGCGAGCGCGGCACTCGGCTCGTCACACATGTGTACCAGACGCTCTATGGCGCACCTGAAGCATCACTTGGCTCTATCAGAAGGGCGAAACGTCGCCACAGCATGAAGTGGATACGTGATCGAAGGCTGCTCCGTATAGAAAGGAGTGGTGTACCTGATAAGCTGTGATAGAGACCTACGCGCGGAGTAGACAGGAGCCGCCACACATGCGCTAGCGAAGTACCAAACAGCAAGCTCTCGAAGACAGTCGCTTTCACAGTCGCAAAGAGCGCGGCGTACCCTCATATGTTGTGACTCATAAGCTGGGATGCGAGGCGTGGTTGTCATGGCGGTACTGCAGGCAGTAGCACGCTGCGCAAGGCGCGCAGTCAAGGGTAGTCTCGCGCAACATTTTGGCTGGTCCTCACAGTACTTGCTCTTCCTGAGGTCAAAGACCTCATCACACATTGCAACATTCCGAGAATTCCGCTCCGCGCTGTAGTCAGCAGAGACTTTACAGGACCGGGATTAGAGAATCGTCGCGCAGTAAGATGCTGTGTCATCCACGCTGTACATCCTCCCAATTTCCACCTCTATTTGTTGCGCCAAAAGGCGAGGTATGGACGCTGACGTACTGAGGTTAGTGTGTGTGAATACCTGAACTCAAGCCCAAAAATCCGTCTAAGAACTTGCCTTGCGTTGCTCACCGCTCGGTTCATCCACTGACGTTGAGAACGTCATGATTCTGGTAAGTGTTCCACAAGCTGGCCTTAGACCATTCGTGAATCCGAATTGACCCTCAACATCCCCCGCTAGATAACCCAAGATGCTGAAGGATCTGAGAGGAATTCTAGTCATCAGTATGAGAGTGCAACTTCCTGTTGCTGTCAAGTGCCACGAGCGAAGATCGGGTGTTGCAAACCAAGGGTGACGCGGGATTGGTGAGGAAACCGCGGGCCGCGACTATTGCAGATCTGCTAATTCATCGTGCATTCTGCTAATGGCTCTCGCTACTAGAAAAGGTGGTTCCAAAGCACAACTCTCATGCGAATGGTTGCAGAGGTCAGCGGAGGGCTGAGAAGAGTGTATTGCGCTGGGGAAAAAATTTCCCCGTCCGGGGTTCGAACCCGGGTCATCCGCGGACTATGCATGAGAGGCGGATATCCATACCACTGGACCAACGAGGAATGATATTCCCGCGTGTTACCACTCGGAAGGCGTTGTGCGAACGAATGATCAACTTTAACATTTATCAACCCGTGCGCAAAAAATAAAGCGAGCCTTCATCGTTCATTGCCGATTGTGATGCAATAAATCACGTGATCAAATGCTCCTTGCGCGGGGATTTAGAGGGCGCATTTTATTTGGAGATGCGTCCAGTCAATGTCCGGACGCAACGTCATATATGGACGTACCGCAATTTTGTTGTATGGCCAAATGAGCCATATCTCAAAAATGGCATTTATACGGCATTATTTGCCCTATTTTGCGCGCGCGGTAAAGTTCCGAACGCGAACGAGAAGATCTTCAGAAGGAGCGCCGGGCACGTCGCCGACGGAGTTCGAACACGACACCGTGTCATTCCACGCGCTCGCTGCTGTTCGGGCGTGACGGCATGGGACTTCGTATGCGTGCGGGGCAACGTATCCCTGGGTTGGTTGGTGAGAGTGCGGCTGATGTGATCAGGTCGACCTTGTGCCCGAAAGTATCACAACATCCATCCGCTATATAGCCTCTGCAACGCGCGACAATCCACGAAGATGATGGAAAAGCCGACTCTTGCCAGTCTGTGCGCTAGCGCAATGTCAAATGCATTCAAAAGGCGTCCTGTGGTTCGCGAGGCTGCGCGTACAATGGAGGCGGCATCCTGGGTAGTATATCCACGTACTCAGGTCCAAGCTGATCCAAGTTCGTGACGCCAAGCAGGCGCATTCCTCTCTCGATCTCATCTCGAAGGATGTCGATTGCTCGGATCGCACCTTCCTGGCCATATCCTGACTGAGCATACAGAAAAGGTCTACCTAGACCTACTCCGGTAGCGCCGAGAGCGAGAGCCTTCAGCACATCTGTGCCTCGTCGAATGCCCCCATCGATGTAAACTTCTAGCTTGTCGAATGTTTCAGGATGATGCTCTCGCAGCTCGATCAGAACATCGATGGGCGCAGGAGAATAATCGAGACTCCGACCGCCGTGATTCGAGAGGATTATTCCGCTGACCCCTGGAGTGCTGGCAGCTAAGCGTGCATCGGCCACGCTCTGTATGCCTTTGATGTAGAGCGGAAGGGAGCAGGATTTTGTGTACCATGACACGATGCTCCAATCCTGTACGAAGTCCGGGTATCCTTACGTCAGCAACTCAAATGACAAGGTGGTGAGGGCAGGAAGTAATAGCCACCACACTCACCAGATTCGGGTCTATGTAGCCACTAATGGCGGCGGCTACGCCTTGTGCTTTCTCATCCCGTCCGGTGTCACCTCCCACATCAACAACTTCTCCCTTTGCTCTCATGTCACGTTCCCGTTTGCCCATTACTGCTGCGTCAACTGTCAGCATCACAGCTTTGACGCCCCTCTCTTCGCAGCTTGTCAAAATCTTCTCTGATGCGGAACGGTCGCGATTGACGTAGAGCTGGTAGACAACAGCTGTCCAACATTCAGGGGCCACGAAAGGTGAGCGGTCGCGGGCGCTTGGAGGTCGAGAACTCGATCAGCCGCAAACGTACCCTGACCATCAGCCCGTGCATCTAGCATGTCATCCAAGCCGCAAGATGCGTTGGCAGATATCTGAGAGAAGCACACTGCCATAGGTCAGGGAAGCTTCTCTGAAGCGGCTCTGGAAAGATGCTCGCATTCATCCACAAAGAGACTCACACCTTGGACCACATTTCCGAGACCAGCTGCTCGCGTCAAATTAAGCTCGCCATCGGGGTGTCCGAGCTTAGCGAGCGCAGCTGGGGAAATGTAAAAAGGTAGATGGTCCTTCGTGCCGCCGCCAAAAAGCTTCTTCGTTGACGCTTCTACTTCTCCAACGTGCCGAAGTATCCTTGGTCTAAACATGATGCGATTGTACGCAGCTCTATTGTTGCGCGCAGCTGGAAATGAGAGAGAATTCAGCAGTGCATGTGAGCTCGTCAGCAACAATTCGATGCCAAGCTCTGGCGGTGACCGTTTTGACCTACAAACTTCATCGTCACCGGCCGAGGAGTAGTAGGCCCAGGCTTGCGGGGACAGGTGCCTTCTTGCTATGCTCTATTTGCCAATGATCAGATTGCGCGTGTGAGGCGATTCGTGTAGTCAGTACCATCCACAAATTTCCGCTTTTGTACGAAGAAAAGGAATCGCCCGTGCAAAAGTTTTTTCTCAGGTGGATGCTGGCATGGCGATGGATGCCGCTCAAGCAATGTCTTATGCCGATAAGGGTAGCTCACCTCGAACTCGTCTAAATTCAGTACGCTGCCCACGACCGGCAGCTCGTCGGCAGCCAGCTTCCTTGAGGCTTGCGCATCGGAATCGCTAGCTTTGGGTGCTTGCTCATCGCCACTCAGCGACCCCACGTGAGCCTCATCGGGCAACGTCTTTATGGCGTGTGGAGGATGGATAGGCGTGTACAGCTCGCTGAGGGCGTGTTCACAGGATGAAGGGAAGCGAATGGAGCTCAGCGCGCTCCGGAAAGAGGCAACAGCAGTGTCGTGCTGCGGCACCTTACACCCGACCCTCCCCACGGCCTGGTCGCAGGAAGCTCACTCACGTAGCATCCTTTCCTGCCGCCTTTCGAATCACATGGGGACCGCCCGGATGCTGCGCCAGGAATTTGGTGACGCTGCATGAAAAGGGCTGCGTTCAAGAGGCTGGCCTGCATGGGCGAAATTCAGCTGGACCAGAGAACTTACTCGTACACGTTGCCATCGATGGCCACCCAGATTCCTTTGCCGTCTTTGCCATCGTGCTTCACGAGATCATCGACAGACACCACCTTGCCACTGGCAATGCTCCGACGCTCAGCTTTCGCCAAATTGTCGTCACCCGTGTCGGCGGCAACGGTGCCAGTTCCCGTCATCCAAAGCGTGCAGCATCCTGCCAGCGCTGCAGCCATGAGGTAAAGGGAAAGCTTTGCTGTCCTAGCATCGAGGTGGGCAGAGACTGATGATGGGGTTGTGGAACGTCGCCAAGCGCTGCTAGAGAAGGACCGCTTGGCTGCGTAGTGATGAGCCGCGACATGAGGCTCACGCAGCGTGGCAGTAGCAAGCGTTCTGGCGGGCAACGTAGGGCCAGCCTTGCTTGGGCTTGCATGGCACTTCGAGCAGCTTTGCGTGCTGAATGACGGGCTTTGCGGTGAGCGCGGCAGGAGACGTGGTGGCCAAGACGTGCAGGCGTGGTGGTGGCTCATCTGAAACATCATCCTCGCCGTCGTCCTTTGTCCCACACCTGCGCCGGCACCAGAAGAAAGTGGTGAAGGCGGCATGTGCTATCGCGAATTTGAATGCTCTCGATTCTTGATTCCAACCACAACGTCTCCTCTCTCCTCCCTGTTGTGAGATGAAGGGCATAAAATATGCTAGCGTCGCTATCAGTTTTGAGTCCAGTAGGGCAAGTCACAAGCAAAAAGCGCTTCGCGCA